TTTTAATGTCTAACAGCACAGGAGGGGAGCTCATTACACCCTATCAACCCCATACCAGCTATCTGTAGAACATCTGGTTATTCATTTCTCTGCTTACTATGAAATCTCAGTGCATCCAATTTGACAACACAGTGATTTTCAAAACACTGACCAATCTATCGTGGATAACTGTAGGGCAAATAAAAACACAATAAGGTGCTTGTTTGTGAAAAGTGTTTCCTTCACACTGGCATTTTCTTGCCTAAAGGCAGTGCATTTATTTACTGCGATTTTTAGAACATTATTAATTCAGTGGGAGGCAGCAGACTTGTGTACACCACATAAACACATACCAATGGAAACATGTCTGCACTCTCTTTCAAGAAGTGACGTGTTCCCTGGGCAGATAGAAAGAATATATTATTAAAATATCTCCCCATGTCATTGTGCACACTGAGACATAGAAACCTATGTTCCATCCTTACAGCTACGCAAACCGTTCCCCATTCTGGTACACACGGACTTAGAAAGTGCAAAAACACTCCTAATTTACATCAGTGCTGAAAAATCTAAAGTATGAGCACATGTTAATGAATTTAGTGCAATCATGTTAGTGCCTGCAAAGGTTTTAGCTTCATCAGAAAGTATGCAGCTTGTTTCTTTTTACATAAAATAACAGGGCTGGACTATTGTAACAAGCTTATAAGACAATGTAATGAACTGAAAATATGCAGGCCATGGTCAATTCTACAGATCTGTTACAAAACCTGATAATAGTTTAAACACAACCATTAATAAATTGAGTTCTGAGTGACTTCCAAAGTGAAAATCTTGTTTCAGCTATTGACATGTGACAGGTATTTGTATTCATCAGACAGTATGTTGCAGACAATTCAAATGTAATTAATGTTAAAATAGGCTTAACATACTGAGGAAAAAAAAGCACTAACAAACTCAAAACAAGTTATATTGTGAAACGAGCAAGCTTAAACATTTCATATCTGTTCCAAATGGTGGTGTTCATACTCCACTGTTAGAAAAAAATACCTTTAATATAATTGCAGAATCTTTCTTTATACTTGCTTTGGTATTTTTCCTAACATCATTAAACAGAAGAAAATATATTTCATGCACATAGAAACATATTTATCTTCTGGTGGTGACTTATTGCCTTAAACTGTTAACCTTTTTTATTCACTTGTGGAATGTTGGTGTCGCTGGCTGGCCCAGCATTTATTGCCCCATCCCTAGTTGCCCCCTTGAGAAGGTGGTGGTAAGCTGCTGACTTGAACCACTGCAGCCCACCTTCTGTGGGTTGACCCACAATGCCAGGAGTTGACCCAGCGACAGTCAAGCAACGGCAATATATTTCCAAGCCAGGATGGTGAATGACTCTTTGGGAAACTTCTGGGTGGTGATGTTCCCATGCACTTGCTGCCCTTATCCTTCTACATGGAAGTGGTCGTGGGTTTGGAAGGTGCTGTCTGAGGATCTTTGGTGAATTTCTGCAGTGCATCTTGTAGATAGTACACACTGCTGCTACTGAGCGTTGGTGGTGGAGGGAGCAGATGCTTGTGGATGTGGTGCCATACAAGCGACTGCTTTGTAAGCTGCACAGATCCAGGCAAGTGGGGAGTATTCCATCACACTCCTGATGTGTGCTTTGTAGGTGGTAGATAGACTCTGGGGAGTCAGGAGGTGAGTTACTTGCCGCAGTATTCCTAGTGTCTGACCTGCTCTTGTAACCACTGTGTTTATCTGGCAACTTCAGTTGGGTTTCTGTTTCTGATCCGAGGTAACTCCCAGGATGCTGAGAGTGGGGAATTCAGTGATGTTAACATCAATGAATGTCAAAGGGTGGTGATTAGATTGTCTCTTACTGGTGATGGTCATAACCTGGCATTTGTGTGGCACGAATATCACTTGCCACTTGTCAGCCCAAACCTGGATATTGTCCAGATCTTGTTGCATTTGGACACGGACTGCTTCAGTATCTGAGGAGTCACGAATAGTGCTAAACATTGTGCAATCATGAGCAAACATCCCCACTTCTGATGGAGGGAAGGTGATTGATGAAGCAGTTGAAGATGGTTGGGCCTAGGACACTACCCTGAGGAACTCCTGCAGGGATGTTCCGGAGCTGAGATGACTGACCTCCAACAACCACGACCACCTTCCTATGTGTCAGGTATGACTCCAACCAGTGGCGAGTTTGTCCACTGATACCAGTTTTGCTGGGGCTCCTTGATGCCACACTCGGTCGAATGCAGCCTTGATATCAAGGGCTGTCACTCTCACCTCACCTCTGGAATTCAGCTATTTTGTCCAGGTTTGAACCAAGGCTGTAATGTGGTCAGGAGCTGGGTGGCCCTGGTGGAACCCAAACTGGGCATCACTGAGCAGGTTATTGCTGAGCAGGTGCTGCTTGATAGAACTGTTGAAGACACCTTCCATCACTTTACTGATGATCGAGAGGAGACTGATGGGGCAGTAATTGGCCAGGTTAGATTCATCCTGCTTTGTGCATACAGGACCTAATTGGGCAATTTTCCAAAATGTTGGAATGGTAAAAGTAACCATAATAAAACAAAATACCGCAGAAGTTGGAACTCTGAAACAAACAGAGTGCTGGAGAAACTCCACAGGAGGCCTGACAACATCTGTGATGAGAGACAGAGTTCATGTTTGAAGTCTGGTAAGAGTGTTCTTCTGTTCTGGCGAGTTGCAATCACAAACTGCCATATGGGATTATGCTGTTGTAGTAATAATGGAGACCTGGATCTCAAAGGGACAAGGGATGTTAAATAATCTTGGCTATGAGGGATTCCGAAGATAAGGAAAAAGGGAGGGTTGTTATTTTGGTTAAGGAGAATGTTGCAGTATTGGAATAAATCAACTGGGTAGAGCTAAGGAATAAGAATGGCACAATTATATTATTTGGTGTAATCTATAGACCAGCTGGCAGGAAGGATATAGAGGAACAAATCTGCAATGAAATTACAGGATGGCGTGACCGTTGTGGAGGAGTTATAATGGTGACTGTAGCCTGCGATGCTGGTGGTGCCGAGGGCAGCGAGGAACAAGAGTGCCGAGATTGTGTCCAGGAGAATTTCCTGCAGCACAATGTGTCAAATACAATAAGAACAGAGGCATAGGAAGACTCAGTACTTCAGAATGAGGTGAGCCACGAGACACTGGAGGCGGTTGGGGGGGTGGGGGGTGCGATTGAGAGACAGTGGTCACTTACTGTATCACACTCTTGGGATGACAGAAGAAAATGACATTGGCCAATCAACAGTAAGAATTATCACCTCCACTGGGGAAGTGAAAACAGGAACACAAGAGCGAAAAAAAAACACTGGCAGGTAACTGAGAGCGAAATCCCACAGCCTTCTAAAATCACATCAATAATAAAAATGGGGTGAAAGGAGAAATAGGGCTGATTAGGGACCGAAAATGGGATGTACACATGGAGACAAGAGGCATGATTGAGGAGATAAATGAATATATTGCATCTGTCTTTCCCTCTGTGGTCAGTGCTGCGAGGGCATGGTTACAGAGGAGGAAACACAGTCCGTGGATCAGAGGACATGTTGGGCCAGCTGAAGGTCCTTCAAGCTGATAGGCACCAGGACTATGTCCAAAGATGTGCACATTGGATTGGCCTTGCTAAATTGCCCATAGTGTCGAGGGTGGGAAATGCAGAGCTAGGGTAGGAGGGTGGGTCGGTGTGGACTCGATGGGCTGAATGGCCTGCTTCCACACTGTAGGGGTTCTATGTTTCTACATCGAAAAAGTGAGAGTGGAAATTACAAAGGCACGGGCAATTGTCTTTCAAACTTCCCTCGATCTGGTGGTGATGCCAGAGGACTGGGGAACCACAAACATTACACCCTTACTCATAAATATTTTCAAAAATAGGCCCAGTAATTAAAGACCAGTCATATTAACTTCAGTGGTGGGGAAACTTCTAGAAACAGTTGTTTGGGATAGCATTAATAATCACATGGAAAAAAGTGTGTATTAATTTGAAGAGTCAGCTTGGATTTGTTAAGAGAAAAGTCACATTTAAGTAACTTGCTGGAGATTTTCTTAAGAGATAACAGAGAAGGTTGATGAGGGCAGGGCTTTTGATGAGGTATACATGGACTCCTGAAAGGCATTTGAAATGTGGTGGAAGCAGATTCAATGGAAGGCATTTAGGAGGGTATGGGTGATAATTTAAATAAACACAATGTGCAGGGTTATGGTGAAAAGGCAAGAGATCAGCACTAAGTCAAATACTCAAAGAACCAATGCAGCCTCAAATGGGTTGAATGGCCTCCTCTTGCACTCGAGCAATGCTATGATTAAGTTCTGTCTCAACTATCTATTCCCCACCATTATGATCTTTTCTGTCAGACTGTAGACGGTTCCATTGTGAACTGATGAATATTAGCATGCAGGATTGAAACTGCACAACTTCACTTCAGACCATAACAGCATCAGGAAAACGCACAAGAGTAGACCATTCAGCCCCTTGAAGCTGCTCTGCCATTCCATAGGATCATGGCTGACCTAACACTCATGTCCACTTTCTTGCCTTTTTCCCATAACCCTCGATTCCCCAACTGATCAAGAATCTATCTCAGCCTTAAATATGCACAAAGGCTCTGTCCCCACAGTCTCCTGTGGGATGGAGTTCCAAAGACTCTCAACCCTCAGAGAAAAAATTCCTCCTCATTTCAGTCTTAAATTGGTGCCCCTTTATTCAGAGACTATGCCATCTTACACAGACTTTCACACACAGCACAGAAGATTTAGATGAAGAGAATGGTTTCTGCTAAACCAGCAGGTCACTTTTAAAAGATCTGGAGAATATTATAATTTCCAATCATGATCATTTCAAGCTCTCATACGCTTCTATTTGATACATTCTGCACTAATACAAGGTACGAAACAGTTACACTGAAAACACAGACGAATGTTGATGTCAATGAACTCTAACAAAACTGCAGTTTGAATTAGTCCAAACAACTCACCTGTTGTGGGAAGCAGGTCCGTACTGAGTGCTCCGTGTAACCAAACGATGGTCCCTCAAACACGGCCGTGGGCAACTTTAACACCTCTCGGAGAAACTGGTCAAACTTTATATACATCATTATTCCATTGGAATCTGATATCTGTGAGAAAGTATCTGGAATATAGTTTAAGAAAGGGGATTGGTGAGAGAAAAGCATGTTAGCAAATATTAATAATGGAAACATTAACGAAATGCATGAACCGGGAACAGGTTTGGGTTTGAACACAACTCCCTGTCAGAATGGATCCACTGGGCAGTTGCCAATCTGAGGCCGTAGCATCAACTATGTAGGAGCACCCAGCGATGATCATTGGGACTTAACTGTGTAACTGCCTGTGATTACACCGTGCCCCAGGATTATCTCCTGTTTATCAATTTTAGCCTGCATCCTCTAGGATGAACATTATCAAATGCATTCTGAAAATTCATGAACAACTGATACCTGCATGTGCCACTACATGAATAGGCAGGAAATACAGGGATAAGGACCGTGCAGAGGCAAAGGGTTTTTAGTTTCAAAAGGCAAGGTGGGTTGGCGTTGCTTGATGGGCCGAAGGGCCTGTTCCTGTGCTGTACTTTGTTAAACTGACTCCGCTAAATACTGTACTCAGAAAACTAAACTCCCCAATTCAGTTTATACATCCCCCGGTGTTTATTTACTCTACTCCACGTAATGGATTTGAGCAAGTGTTCCACCCAGCTATTTTATCTGGAGTACAGTTACTTGGTTTGTCCCTTTCGCTCTCTTTAAACAATTTTATAATGCTTGCCACTTTCCAGTCATCTCCATAAATCCAATTAACTTTACAAAAGTTTAATTAAGCTTGTTTTTTTATTAAAATAAATCCTCATTGGGAATCATCTAGGACTGTATTTTTGTCTGGCTTCAACCCCATTAGTTTACTCATGACTCCTTTACAGTTGAAGCAAGTGTTCAAGATACTCCCTCTTACTCCTTCGTTTCTTGAAGGATATCCTCCCGTTCCACTAAGAAAACTGTAGAAAAAGCAACCCATCATTGGCAGAGGAAATAGCTTGTATCCCACCCATCCTAAGATAAAAACCATAAGCACCTCCTACAAGAAATGCTTCAAACAACAATTTAGTAGAACTTCAGACATTTACTGCCCCAATTAAGTACCATTTTGATTAAATATCAAGTATCAATACTCCAAGTGAACACTTTAATTTATCAAAAACTTTGAAAAAATTTCAGTCAGCACTTCAACACTCCCAACAAATTCTTCAATGGAACAAACTGCAGGTAGAAACGTCCAGCTATTAGTTGGTGAACAATGCATTTGGCAGCAATGATCTGAGTCTTTAGGTGGGGGGAAAAATGACAAAAGGAGAAAGGAGAGCTGACATTTTAATTCACAACCACATTGGCAAATGTTCCTGCAACTCTTTGCACTATTTTATGTATGTTTTTCCACATTATTTCATGAAGCCCATTGATTGATTGTAGTGTTTACACATGAAGCAGTCAGGCAACCAGAGAAGCTAACTAACAGCATTGATGGTTCCAGGCCATCCCATCTTCTGTAAACTGTTACAGCAATCCAAACAAACACCACTACATTGTAACTCCTAACTCAACCGTCTCCAGCATTCTGAAACTTTCCAATTCTCCTTAGTTTTGATTGTTGTCTGTTAAGGCCAAAATTTCTAAAAAGCACATCTTTTAAATATGTTTATATCTGAATGTTAACCCATAAACATTTTTGAAAAACTCTTTCCTTTGCCTGTTATGCCATAAAAGTCAATTTCAGGTAACAGCAATTAAAGCAGAAAAGTAGAGGGAAAGAACTCATTACACCAGCAAAAGCCAGTCATGATTTCCCCTGCACTCCCTTGGTGGTATCATTCAAAAAATGCGATACATCATTCTCCATATCTGTGGACCACATCTGCTGATCTCCAGACAGTCAGTGATCAGAGCTCCTCCAAAAGTTGCACTTCAGGATTTCTTGTGATTTTCAAAGAATCTTCATACAATAATGAAAGCAAAACTTTTGGACAGGTTTAAATTTCCAATGGACTGTGTCCAAAATCCTCCAAAAACGTCTCCAACACGGAGTTACAACCAGTACCCTCGAACAACTTCTATTCACTTACTTGGATATTTATCCAGGAAATGTTAGGTGGAGAAACACAGCTTGACCTCCTGGGTAACAAGAGAACTAACCATACCTCTCCTCTGTAAAACCCCAGCTCACAATCCACCTTCCCCAATTCGATCTGACCCTACTTCACAATCTGCCATCTATCAACTGACCTCACTTACACCTATTCACTAACATACTGAGAAACTATTTCATGTCCCAAAGATTTTTAGCAAATTTGTGAATGAATGAAAGCTGAGAAGAATATGGAAATCTGGGCCACAAAAACGAGGTATGGCTTGGACACCGCCTACCCTGCCCTCGACAAACCCACTACGCTCCAACTTTGACGATCCTTTGGTAGAGAGGTACTCCGAAAAACAATTATGTCCTCCATTTCTGAAAAGACAGCATTCAGAAGCCCAGACCAAAACATGCAGAGCTCCACCTTAGCGGTAACATAGGAACAGAGTGGCAATCTGACAGTGCTGGCCTCTCTTCGGAAGGTACAGTTTCATATTTCAGATACAATACCATATGATTACCACTAGAGAGCAAGCAAACCCAGCTATACTGCCCTCAACGTGTTTATGTTGAACCTTCGGATGATGTTGGAATTAGCAAACAGATTAAAATAACAAATTGAAGATAGTTTCCATTTGTAGTAAATTCTGCAGCACTCTCTATTACACATTCACCAAATTTTCATCACCAGGCCACTGAAATATAGAAATATATACACTGAGCTGTCCACAATGTCTCACAGATACAATTTCAGTCCTCACTTCGATTAGTCTATTTACAGTTTTTAATTGTAATCTAGCAGGGAAACAGATAATTAATTTAAAAAACTAATAAAATAAATTTAAGAGTTCCAAATGTTAATGGGATTAATCACTTTGGAGTACAGAAATTGAGTATTGCCGAATAAAAGACACACTGTCCACCCTAATGTTGCAGCAGTCATCAGATTAAAATTGCAAGAATAGCAAATTTCAAAGGGAACAGCAATTTCCACTGCATAAGAAGAGAATGCTGATTGGCTGGCAAGTGTACTTGCCCAATCAACACACTCCTCTCTTACAGAAAATATTGTTGTTCCCTTTAAAACTTGATTTTCTGGTGATTCTGTCCTCATGAGTGCAAACAAAAAGGTTTCAACAGCATGTCACTTTTCTGAATGATGCTAAATGGGATTTATTGATTTTTAATTTAAATTGTTGGAATGCAAGATTCAGCAAATGGACTTGAAACAATTACAGAAATCCAATGTAAGATAACAAGGTGAAGAACTGGATGAACACAGCAGGCCAAGCAGCATCAGAGGAGTAGGAAGGCTGACGTTTCGGGCCTAGACCCTTCTTCTTCAGTAGAAGGTCAGCTTTCCTGCTCCTCTGATGCTGCTTGGCCTGCTGTGTTCATCCAGCTCTACACCTTGTTATCTCAGATTCTCCAGCATCTGCAGTTCCTAGTATCTCAGAAATCCAATATCTTCATGAAGCCTTTTGAGTTTGAGAAACCAAAGACTTTCTAAACCTGGTCAAGTATTGTTTTTCTGGTGAATGAATTCAAAAACATTTACAGCAGCTGAAAATACACATTTTCTTAAAGATTGTTAAGTGTAAGCTCCATAAATGATGAATTTATTCCTGCACATCCAGAGAAAGGCCTCACAATTGGACAGGAGTTCTGACAATTATTTTACAGATCGGTGGGTGTTTGCTAAGGGGCAAAACCAAGCTGAGGAAAAGTGACAGAGTTCCTGCGCCTGAATCTGCTTACATCCGGGCTCCATGATAGTCAGACCTATTTGTAATTAGATCTACAGATCTTTGAAAAAAAGTTTTGAAAATACAAAACGTGTGCAACTTGGCCGAGGGAAACATAACTGGGCACAAAAAACTGGAGAAACGCGGATGCTAGAAACCAGAAAGACAGAAACAGAAATTGCCAAATTAAGAAAGGAGAAGAACACACCTCCATCAACATCAATGGAACTGAGGTTGAGAGAGTGAAGAGCATCAAGTTCCTCGGAGTGACAATAACTGATGACCTGTCCTGGGCTTCCCACGTAGATGCGACAGTCAAGAAGGCACAACAATGTCTCTTCTTCCTCAGGTGGCTCAGGAAATTTGAAATGTCCATACGGACCCTCACCAACTCCTACAGATACACCATAGAAAGCATACTGCCCGGGTGCATAACATCCTGATATGGCAACTGCTCTGCCCAGGACTGTAAGAAACTACAGAAGGTTGTGTGCACAGCCCAGAACATGATGGGAGCCAACCTTCCATCCATGGATTCCATTTACGCAGCTCGCTGCTGCAGAGAGGTGGGCAACATCATCACAGACCCATCACACCCCGGTAATGACCTCCTACAGCCTCTTCTGTCAGGCAGGAGATACCGAAGCCTGGACACACGCACCAACAGGTTCAGGAACAGCTTCGTTCCATGTCGTTATCAGACTGTCGAATGGACTCTAGCCTCAAATAATGTAACCTGCAACGTAACATGTATGCCCTTCAGTGTTTTTGATCTGTACATCCTTTGCTTGCTGTGATCTGCCTGTACCACTCATAAACAAAGCTTTTCACTGTATTTCTGTACACATGACAATAAAATCAATCAATCAAAGCTCCATCCTGTTCTACTCAAGAATGTGCTGCAGCACAAGCCTCAGAATGGCATTGCTACAGAACCAGTGAGCTATCTGTTTCTCCTTTCCATGTCAACTATTCCATAGCCTTTCAATGGGATACCGATCAGTTACAATTTAGGGAGAGTCCTGTGTTTTAGATCAACACCAACTAAGGGTGGTTAACATTCTCCAAACTCAAAGTAAGTAGAACCCATAGTGCCAATAGATGGAATGCATGTGGCTCTACAGAGCTCTGATAGTGGAGTAAATCAGACCAATTATAAAACAAACCAACTAAAATTTAAACTCCCCTTCAATCTGTTCCCAATTAAAGATCTTTTCAGGCCTTCTCTGACTAGGAATCTAAAGACAGATTCAAGGGATTTTTCATTAACATGCAAAGCATGATAAATGCAAAATCTCAAAACTAATCCCTTAAAAATTTTAATGCCAGTTTGGGGATTTAATGTCTAATGTAAACATTTTAGATGAAAACAATAGGTACGGATTACACAAAACAAAGCCAAACAAAGCACTGTAACCAGTTAAACCTCTAACAGAAAGCGGGCATAGACCATTTTAAACTACAACAATTACCAAATCATTTCATCAAATTTCTGAACAATCCAATTTTTTTCCCAAGAACCAAGCAGAAACATTCCTTGTTGAGTTCACACTCTGTGCTGTCCCGACAATGACTAACACAGCATGCAGTTCAAGAGCAAATGCACCTAGTGTGCTGGAATATTGAGTTTAAAGTCGGCCAACACTACTGCTCCCAATGTGGAATACATTTTCTGGGCTCCGCCAATAACTTCAAACAGGAACAAAAACAAAGTTCTGGAAAAGCTCAGCAGGTTTGGCAGCATCTTCACAGATGCTGCCAGACCTGCTGAGCTTTTCCAGCAACTTTGTTTTTGTTCCTGATTTATAGCATCCGCAGTTCTTTCAGTTTTTAACTTCAAACAGTAATTAACTGAAGCAGAGGCCAAGCAGCAGTCCATACCCATCACCTCTCTATTAGGTAAGAAACACACATTCACACACCTGATTAAAAGTCAATGACTCCTGCTTTAAGTGAGCAGGCAGTAGAACTGGATTCTTTTGTGATCCCCATGATTAAAAACTTCCTGACATTCACCATCTCGCCTCAACAGTGAAGCTGGCCAAGGAAGGTACCAACCCAAACTGAAACAAATTTTGACCAGAGGCAGAGAAAGAAAGATAATGAGAGAACAGAGCAATCCTAAATAAATGCATACATCTAAATCTTGTTTTTACTTACACCGTAGTTTGTCCAGGATCTTTCCTCCACACATTGTCGCCAGCATAGCTTTGACTGAGAATACCGTCAACTTCCCATGACCCTCACTGCAAAAAGGTTATTGTGTGACACGTTAGTAATTGTAGCTACTCAAACTCACCGACAATGTTCTCCACTCTCAGGAGAACTCAGCTCAAGTTCTTCATCTACTGCAATACAATTTTAGTTCGAAGTTTCATAGTCAACATAAACTAATACAACATGATTAAACACATTTCAGCACCTATTCTATTCCTTAAAGTACACAATTTGGAAGTTTGGGTTAATAAAGTGAAACATTTTACAAAATGAACATTATTTTACTCCATGATGTCATCCCATTAGTGTAGCAGGATCAATATCCATTGAATGTGTGATCTGTGAACAATAATATGGTCACAACTTGCATTTAAAGCTGAAAAAGGCCAGTGGCACAGCCTCATTCTATTATTTAAATCATGGTCCCAACTCTGGAATTCCACATTCTTCCCACTGCTGGCCCAGGACCAGCCCTCAGCCTCACTCTGTTCATACTGGAGGTAGGTAACTAAAAAATGGATTTATGATTTTCATAACTTTAACCCACACTCCATCATCACTATGCTTTATGTTTAATGCCTCAATTAATTTCTGTAAAGATGAAGGTTTGGTAGACTTAAATACTGCTCCAATTTGAAGGAGCTCCCTGTCACTGATAGACAGAATTCAGGAAAGTGCCTAGTACAGCAACTGCTCTGCCCAGGACCGTAAGAAACTACAGAACGTGGTGTGCACAGTTCAGACCATCACGGAAGCCAACCTCCCATCCATGGACTCTACTTACACAGCTCGCTGCCGCGGAAAGGCGGCCAACATCATCAAAGACCCATCGCACCCCAGTAATGATCTCCTACAACCTCTTCCATCAGGCAGAAGATACAGAAGCCTGAACACACGCACCAGCAGTTCTGGAACAGTTTCTTCCCGGCCATTATCAGACTGATGAATGCACACCCTGTAGCATCAAATAACACCGAACTTGCTAACATTGATCTCGCCCAGCACATGCCCTGTGCAATGTAACCTGTATACCTCTGTCTAAGTCTTTTTGATTTGTATATCCTTTGCTTACTATCTGCTGTACTACGTGCAAACAGAACTTTTCACTGTATTTGGGTACACATGACAATAAATAAAATCAATGTGGCAGTTGACTTCATTTTCACGTTTCACTGCCAAACCCCATCTCCAGTGCAATATTTTGCATCTGTCACAACTGCACTGTATTGCTACGAATGTGCCTAATAGACCACTTAAAACCTCTTCGAAGTCTCCAACACAAGACGCTCATCCGCATCCGCACTTTTCTTCCTTCAACAATTTTGAGACGTTTTAAATTGAAGCCAGTTACCAAGTCCCTACCCCACTATCTCCACATGTTCTTCATTTTCACTCTTTTCAACTTTAGCAGTCAGCCATGGCCCTTCAGCTTGGCTTTTTGAAGGAGGATGAAACAATTGTAACCACACCCTGTAGAAATCAGTGTCTTCAAGTGCTCAGAAAATTTGGAAGAAAGTCTCATGTGCACGGTCTTTCACCCTTATTGGATACCAAATCTGCTGTGCAGCTTTCAAAATGCATCAGATCTACAAACAAAAAAATACAGCTGTCCACGACACATACAGATAATTAGGTGGGGAGAATTTCAATGGAATGACAACTCCGAGTTGGAAACAATTGCTACGTGTCTTGTCATTATTTTACTCTAATGGGGAATGAAACCTCTAATTAAATGGTGGGTGGGGAGGCTTAAGAAATTTCTTTCCAATACACTCAAATTTCATAGAAAAAGAACAGTTCTCTCTGGGTGCATCTTGCAACTTCTTTTGATTAAATATCAGTTTTATCACCGGATGAAGACTCTTCGTAAAGAGTGATGAGGATATTATTGGAAAACACAAAGCCTTGGCTCTTCATTTTTGAAGAAGGATGAACTAGAGGGCAGCACTGCTTCAACCCCAGCCCTGCATGGATCACTGCCGTTTTGGGCGAAATGCACAGGAGACAACTAATGAAGCTTAATATAGAGGAACGGCAAAATGATTCATCATGCAAGGAGGAATGAGGCAAAGCAATAATGAAGTGATGGCACAATTTTAAAGGGAACACAGAAACAGACATATAAGCACAGCATGAGAAGGCTGATAAAAGCATGTTGGTCCTTGATTTTATTATCATTGGAAAAACAATAGAAGACCTGAGAAATAGTGCTTTTTTTTTATAAAATGCTGGTGAGGCTGGACTACTGTGCCACAGTTTAAGAATCTACTGCTAGCAACATCCTAGGGGTTATCATTGACAGAAACTGAACTGCAACCCGTATAGAAATACTGTGCCTACAACAGCAGGTCAGAAACTGAGAATTCTATAGCAAGTAGCTCAGTTCCCATCTCCACAAATCAGGAGTGTGATTAGCAGGATAGTGACAGGTGGAGTCCTACAGGGGTGTCAACTTTTCATAATTTACATCAATGATTTGGTGAGGGGAACAAAGGTATGGTAGCTAAATTCACAGACAGCACTGAGACAGGTAGGGAAATATGTTGTGTAGTCAATGTAGGAAGTTGCAAATGGATAGAGACAAATGTGTGAATGCACAAAAACCTAACAGATGGAGTATAACATAGGAGAAAGTGAAGTTGTTCACTTTGACAGGAAGAATAAAAAGTGACGACAGAAATCTGACGTGCTGAGGGTTTTAGACATGCCAATGCATGAGTCACAACAAGTTAGTATGCAGACACAGCGTGTAATCAGGGAGGCTAATGGGATGCCATTCTTTGTGATGACTGTAACTGAATATGAAAGGATGGATGTTATATTTTGGTTGTACAGTGCATGGATGAGGCCATATCTCAACTATTATGTGCAGTTTTGGCTTCCTTATTTATGGAAGAATCTACATTTATTGGAAGTACTTCAGAGGAGTTTTGGCAGATTGATACCTGCAGCAAGAGGTTGGTTTATGAAGTTAGCTTGGATAGATTGGGCTTGTTTTCACTGGAGTTCATAAGTTTAATTGAAGCATATAAGATTGTGAATGGTGTGGACAAACTAGACATGGAGATTATGTTTCATCTGTGGGTCAGACGAGAAATAGGGGACACTCTTTTAAAATTAGGTGTCACTCTCTTAGGACAGAGATAAGGAGATTATTTTATTGCTCTCTGAGGGTAGTGCAACTCTGGAACACTCTGCTTCAGAAGCCAATGGAGCTGGGGGTATTGAACATTTTTAAGATTGAGGTGGAAAGATTTTGTTATGGGGACAGGGAAGAGAGATAGGAATGTGGAATTTGAAACACAAACAGATCAGCCACAATCTTATTGAATGACAGAACAGGCTCGAGCAGCTCAATTATCACCTTTGCTCCTATTTCTCATGTCCCTTCAATATCGTGGGAGCCAATGCCTGGAACACAATCAATTACTCCACACAGCCCAGGACTGCAGTGGTTCAAGGCAGCAGTTCAATCACCACACTCTCAACAGCAATTAGAGATGGAGAATAAAAGCTGGCCTAGCCAGTGAAACCCACATCACATGAATGAATGAATAGTTTAAGTAAAAATAGCAGAACTGCTGTAGGGTACTCCAATAATTGCTACCATCGTAGTAATTATATAAACTACTTGGGAAACTTCATATGAAGATAAAAGGGACTTTTCAAAAACACCGTAAAGGGTACATCAATATCGTGCTCCTAGCTTTGGCTGGGAGCTACCTCAATACATATAGCTACATAAGCACCTACCTGTCGTATGCTGCTATAACAAAGTTGAGGAGCAGGCTGATAGACTGTTCCACGCTGATTTGATGGGTGGTTGGAAGGCGTTTATTCAGCTGGTAGTAGATTGATGAAATGATGGTCTCTAACCGAGATACATTAATTTCTGTGCTATGGTCCAAGGAGTTGAGGCCATTGTCCCGAAAGGCTTCAATTAAGTTCCATATATCAACAAGATGGACTGTAGGCGAGAACAAAGGTGAATTGTCAAAGTAAAACCTGGACCTACTTTGCCTCACAATTCCTAAGAATTCAAATACATCTTAGACAATGCAAAATAACCTCAAGTGCACTGCAGTCAACCTTGTACATGCACTGAAATCCAAACAGGATCTTTTGAGAAGTTCACTGTACAAGTAGACAAACAAATGTACACTCATATGTAAACAACAATCAGGAAACCTCAGGAAAACAAGACATCAACTCCAGACATGAAGAAGCCTCATCACATCAGATGAAATATGGCAAAGAAACCTCCTCCTGATCACAAAAACAAATAGCTGGAGAAACTCATGAGGTCTGGGCAGCATCTGTGGAGAGAAAGTGGAGTCAACCTTCCAAGTCCAGTGACCCTTCTTCAGAACTCATAACTCTGAAGGTGGGTCATTGCACCTGAAACACTGACACTGCTTTCTCACCACAGATGTTACCAAACCTGCTGAGTTTCTCCAGCTATTTCTGTTTTTGCTTCATCTTTCCAGCATCCACAGGTCTTTGTTTTTTGCTCCTATTGATTTCTATTTTTTGGCTTCCCTCAAGTCATAAATTAACAATCCACCATGTTGAACTCTTCTGGGGAATGGCACTGAGACACCAAGGCTGGATGGGTCATCATCTCTGCTGGGTCTTTCCTGCGATAGGAAGGGACACAGCCAGCAAGGGGCTTGGAGGGACCCAGATATGAGCTGAATGATAGATTCTATGAGAGTGACTATTTGAGACTGTTGTTCAAGTAATCTGTGGGACAGCTCCCCTAATGTTTATAGAATTTCGATGATGATACTGAGCGGGATTTTGCAAAGACACATTGGCTGACTATGTCACTGTTGTGTCCAAATCTGATACATGTCAATGCTAGATAACCCAAGTGGTTTATTCTTATGAACCTTGAGAACCTTTATTCCTTAGAACATCAGAGAGTGCAGGACCTCGAGTTCAAAATAGGCCAGACAAGATAAACATAGCAGATTGTCTTTTCTACATGAAAGCAGGTTCCTTTGCCAAAAAGATATCAATTCTCAACAATCAGGTAGCTTCATGGTCACCATTACAGATATTAGGATTTTTTTACATTTTAGATTTATTTAATTAAATGTAAATTGACAAACCATTAGGATAGGATGTGAAATTATATTTCCAATTCAAGTTTCAGGGTAAATAGCAATACAGCCACAATAACACTAAACTTTTCAGGAAGCTAGGAATATCCTGCAAGTTATTAGTAAAAGATAAATTCAGGCTCTCAGCATTTTCTAAAGTAATTAATTTACTTTGAAGCTCTTGATTTTGATTTGGCAGTTGCACAGTTGAAATCTATAGCACAACTGTTTGTGTGTTGCAGCATTTTAAAAGAATCATGTTTGATTCACTTGAAACCTACATTGATCAGCAGGACCACAAGCATTCCACCAAAATGAACAGTCACCCTTCCTACAGAAAACATGACCCACAGAATTATTGGTATTGTGTTATTACATTGTAGAATAATACAAAGAAGGCACTTGTTTAGGTTCTGAATTTAAGCACAGTTTGCATCATTTTCCCAGCTAAGTTATTTAAAATTTGCTTGGAAGTGGCCTCGTAATTATTATTGTAACAACTGTAACCATGAAGTCAATAAATGCCACCTGGCGTGAGTTACATTCATCTCAAAACCAATTCTGTTTTACAACTGGAGACTGCTCTATTTGATTAGACTCTTCTTCATTTATCTGCTATTCTTTACAACTCTTTTCAGCTTTGAAGAATGGAGGTGTCCTTGATACAAGACAGGTTTGCACCATTAGAAAGAAACTGCTTAAAGATCTACTCAGTGATTGAGTTTTTAATTGGCTCCTGAAAAGTACATAAATGGTTGGCATAAAATATCACGGAAATGTACATCGTAACTGAAATAACTCCAGAGAGGCCAATATTCCACCACTAAGTCACCCTTTATTCACACATGGACAGTCCTTGACACTGATCCAGCTCTCTCAGAGCCAGCTCTCAGAGTGAACAGAACTTCTGACATTCCTGTTTATATCTGTCAGCCAGGACTCCCTGATTGGACCAGATAAACAGCCCCAATCAGGGAACACAGATGCTATGAGATCCAGTTGGCTGACCTTGTTACAATCACTACCGTAATTCCTTTTGTAAACAGCTGTTTCCACACAATATCAAATGGACAGTTTCTCTTATTTCTTCATCGAGTGAGGATTTTTAGGATGAGGGCTATCAATTGTAAAGCTGTTGACAATAATTACTGGCAGTGTGTTTTCTCCAGTCAGAAATCATGAATTGTAATTTCTTTCCTAAACAAATGCCTCACACTGTGATTTATTGACCAGAAGTTTGCATTCATATAAACACATTTGACATCCGAACTTTGTTTATAACATTTCCAACTTCCATTAGTCATCCAGAATGTTCTACCATGCTCTATATTGGTGAAGGGTATAATATGTTTGATATAGGTGCTTACATTAATTTCCTATAGAAACTATTTCATGACTGATATTACTCAGGTACTGTAGTAATTCAGTGGGGATTTGTTGCTGTTTGATGACACACAAGCAGGACACACAAATCACACTCAAAGGATGATGCCAGAAGTGGGACAAAGCACACAACAGAAGCACAAATTTTCTAAGTGGTAGAACTTCTGTAGTGAGTCAGACACTTTTGCAGTGTAGCAATAATAAATATCTTTGCTACAACGGCAATATATTAATGATACACAATATACTTCACAGTTTATCATCTGAACAGAAAACAAACATCAGTTCCTTTATTGAATCAGAGATAGTAGGAACTGCAGATGCTGGAGAATCCGAGACAACAAGGTGCAGGGCTGGATGAACACAGCAGGCCAAGCAGCATCATAGGAGCAGAGAGGCTGACGTTTCGGG